TTGCACAGAGATCATGTTCCATCAAATCAATACAAAAAGTGTTTTGTGTGAGGCAAGTGAGAAACACATGAATCTCCATGTATGTACAAAATGTTGAAATTGCTTGCTTCTTTCAGTCCCAGCTGTGAGAACTACAGATGTCATTTGTCTGAGAGGAACAGATGCTAACTCTACTCCCTCCCCCTTTCTTTGGCACCCTCAGAAAAAAAAGAGATGTTCCATTAGCTTGCCTCACAATCTTTTTGATTGTGAAGCAAGCCTTTAAAAAGCTGTAAATCTGCTTTCTCATTACAAAGGACAACAATAGATTGATTTATGGTAGATGAACAACTGTTGAGCTTATGTAAGCACAATGCATGAAACTGCAACTTAGCATTGAATTTAATAGAGGCCACATACTACTATTGCACTATTTGGGGAGGGAACTTTGAATGTAATTAATTGGTGGATTTATGGCTATAAATATACTATTTGTATTTCTTCGTTAAGTTGAACTGGACAATTCAATGGACAATTCAATGTAACTTGAAGCAACAGCCACCCTGTAGAAAACTAGTTGCAATACAGAACAAGGTGAACATTGGAGAGCAGTTTTTAATTGGCCAGAGATAATCAAACCACAAACTTGTCTTTTTTCATTTTACTATAAACTAAATGGAAGTCTTAAGATTTAAAAACAGATGATTTATAGCAATTTAACTCTTTCCATTTCTCTTAATAATCCTACAATAGCCACCCTCTGGTAAGTGTGAGCAATAGGTATCATCCTGTTTATTCATTCGTTCGTTCATTTATTCAGTCAATTTCTATAACCGCCAACTCAGTCAATGACTCTATATGGCTTACAATTATAATTTTAGTTTTGTGGCTTTTTGATGGAGGCATCAGGAATCTCTCAAGAAAGACCAGCCTCCAGAAACCTTGGCAGCCTTTCTTACCTCACTTTCCTCAACAAGATCAAACTATTTCTTGGAAACAATATTGGTGGCCATGCTAGTGAAATAAAAATAAAAAAAATTATGTCAGTGAATCAAGTTTTATTTCTTTATATTGATTTTGTACCAATAATAAATCCTTTATTTTTTGTTAAATATTCCTTGCCCTTTAGTTCATTTTGCTTCAGAAATAAAATCATTTATTCATTTATTACATTATTTTCAGTTAATAATTGCTGAAGAAAAATTATAACCTATTCAAGCAGTACACACGAGGTGGCATCTTTTGAAATTAAAATAAAGATTGTGTGATTGCGGCTGATTGCAGCAATGCTGAAGTGGGAGAAAATTTCTCAAATTTTATTTCCTTGGGAGTAATGGACTCCTAATTTCTGTGAGTTAGTCTTGTAAGTTGAGGTACCTTTACTGAAAAATTTTACTCTATGATGATGTGTATCATTTTATTACAGATCATAGACACAAACACAAAAGTTTTAGTAACATACAGATGAGTAAACACTTATTAAAAAGTCTCTGCCAGTCTGATTTTTGCAGTCTGCGTGCCACCATGCAAGATAGCCATTAAACTTGTCTTCCCTGAGATCTCCAACACAATGTCAGTCCTGTCCCAACTTAGTTCACATAGAAAAGAGAGAAAAGCTGCCAAAGTGGGGAATGTATCACATGACCGGCTAAGTGGAAGCTGAAGAACCAGTTCCCACTCTTTTCACCGCAGGTCACCTGGCCATCCAAATTCTCAGCTTCCCCAAGGGCTCCTTCTGCCTGCCTGCCACTGCCACTGCCACTTTGCACTACCATCACACACCAGACCACCTAACCATGCCATGAAAGTTAGGAGAAGGAATTCAGTAATTCAGGGGGTTCCTGGAAGGACCAGGAGAGGCCATAGGAAGGCAGGGTGTTTTGCGAGCAAATATGTGCTTATGGATTGTGGTGAGCAAGGGCTGCTGAGGAATATGTACCCTGTATTAGGCTCCTATGCAAAAAGGCAGTAGGAACTTGGGTGACTTGCAACCTTCTCTACTGGTTCCCGCAATGACTTTGTGGGAGATCAGCAGATAATGTCACAAATGGTCATCCCGTGATCTGGATCAGTGCAACATCATGATTGCACACTGGGCAACCATGTGCTCAGATTACAATCATGTGACCATGGGTATGTTGCAAAGGCTGGAACTTCAAGGACCAGTGATAAGCAATAAGCAAATAATATACAGCTTAACGTTTAGGAGGAAAATTATTCTAAAAAGTCATGAATCCTGTAAGAATATTGAGACATGATAAAGCTGCAGGTATAACTGTGAAGGAAATTAACATAATATGGTTTAAATAAAGTGTGGCACTTCAATGTCTTTAACTCCATCTGCACTTGACAGTTGAGAACACTATTATATTTTTCCCTTATACAAAGTGAATGATAAGAACGAATGCAGAATTAGAGGACGATTAAGTATTCCGGGTAATATGCCTATTGGAATTCATGTTGAAAGATTTCAAGAAGTGACAATGACATTTTGGAAGTAGAGTGAAGCTTTATGCTTGGCTGGGCTGTGCATATTGGAGTTTTGCACTTCGATGGGATATTCAGGAAAGTACGAATGTAAGAAAATTTATTGTACATTTGTTGATTTAGAAAATGGTAGTCCTCAATTTATGACCATTTATTTGCGACCAGTCAAAGTGTCTCTGAGGATCCTTCTGCAGGTACTTACAACCCAGTTCCAAAGTTCTGACAACTGTCTAGACCTACAATCACATGACCGCATGTTGGGTGCTTAGTAAGCAGCCCAAATTTATGTCCATTTGTAGATTTCTTGGTCATATGACTATGTTTTATGATGATTTTTATCAAAAACTGACATTTACTTTCAGTTTTCAGCGATACTGGCTCATAGGAAACCATTGGTTGGTGTGGGAACTTAACAATCACTGCAAACAAAGTTTAAAATTGGGTTATACACATGGGTGACCTGCATCACAGCCATCATGATTTATGACCATGATGGGCAGACTCCATTATGGTCATGACTAACTGTATGACCAAGCGACGAGCTTTACTTAAGAAACAAGTTGCATAAATATGGTCTTGAAGTTTGAAGCAGAATATGATCGAAGAAAAGCATCCATGAGAATAAATGGATTGTTTATCTAATAATTCAACATCGAGCAGGAAATAAGGGAAAGATATGTTGATGTCAACTTTGGTGGTTTGCTATATTGATAAACGTATAAGAAAATGCTTGCAGTGATGCTTGAAATGCAGTGATTGGAGATGGTGTTTGCTCCAAACTTAAATGATTTGCAAATCTTAGATTGTGCAATGCAATTAGTATTATCGATCTGAAAATTAAAACCAATGCGGTTGCACTTGACAGAAAAAATGTAATAGTGTAAGTTTCCTGTAAAAAGTTTAGAAAAAGTTCTAGTCCCTATGATTCTAGTAGATGAATTCATGTGTTTTGATAGAATGCTTACTAAGGAGGGGGAAACAGAGAAACTTTAATGCAAATGCTATTAGAAAAGAAGAGAACATATGTGGTTGTTGCGAGGAATTGATACTTACCTAGAGATGCTAAAATGTGTGTGTTGCTGCCCATTTGTCATGGAAGTGATAGTTGGACATATCAAGAGAAGCAAAAAAAAAACCAGGTTGAATGCAATTTTGAGTGCCTAAGAAATGTGTGGTAGAACAAGAGATAGGTTTAAGAATGAAAGAGTTCTAAATGGATGTGAAAAGAAAAGTGAAAAACTAGCAGAAAAGAAGCAAATAAATACATGAAAAAGGAACGAATGGTTTGAGAGGAAAAAGAGGACCAAGAAACTTGGGACTGGATAGAATTGATGAAATCCTCAGAAGGAGAGAGGAGGTGGGAATTTTAAAGAACAAAAATCAGTGCTTGAATGTGGTAAAAGCAAGTGTGGTTTGTAAGCATTAAAAGATGTAGAGGCTCTAGTTTAATTAGACTCATTTTCTTTCTGTTATTTGTTACCTTTAAGTTATTTTACTTGTTATCTCTCTTTTCCTCACTTTCCATAATATTGTTTACTGTGAAAATTAACAGCATGGCAGATTGGTATATATGATTATACACAGTGGAATTGTTTGGTGCTATTATGCTGTCATAGCTACCCAATATGCAATTAATATTCCTACAATATGTAAGAATTATCCTAAAACCACCTACTTGGTATGAAACAGTTTTAAATCAGTTTGCTATTTTCATTGTGGCCAATCAGGTCTACTCTCTATTCTGATTGGAAGCAGGTCACCATAAACTCACACAAAGAGCCGTAGCACAACCAGTAAAGATCGCGAGGCTGGCATAAAATGTTCTGCAGATTTTTCCTTCTAAAGTTCTTCCATGTATTTCAGAAAGCCTGATAGTATCATGAGCACTTTTCTTGAGGAACAAAAAATGGCTGCAATTATTTGTTATGGGTCCTACTTCTATTCCCTAGTCTTTCCCCTGTTTAAGTTAAGCATTTTCATGCACAATCTTTTCAAATTATTATAAAGTTGTCTGACAGCAGTGGGAATAATGTTTTTAATATACAAGCTTAAGGAAAATATAGGCCTTTTCCTGTGTCATGGTTTCTCATTCATTCTACAGTTCTGCCTACAATCATTCTACATTTTTAACAGCTTTCTCCCACTCGGTATTATCCAGATAGGTTGGCTGGCTATCTGGACGATTTTCAGCAAATGTAGCTGGAAGGTCCAACTTATAGCAGGCTGGTATGGCCTTACTAAACCAAATTCACTGATCATTTGATTAAAAGGAAAGCATTAATGGGCCTTCCACCCAGGGTATATGGGATGAAAAAGAAAGCTTGCCTCCAGTGGATAATGTCTTATCCCTCCCTTTGTGTAAATCGCGGGAAAGTTGTGTTCTTACCGGTACTTCCTTTCCTTCCAATTGTTGCAAAGTAAATGTGACCATTTATCTTTGTGTTTTGTTTCTGTTTGTTTTTTTGAGCAAGCAGAGGAACTAATTTTGTGCTTTTTATTTTCTCTTGACTCTGCCACATTCTCTCCTTCCCAAGTCCGAGCAACCCAGCCCTGCAAGTTCAAGTTCGAGCTCTAGCTCCAGTTTCACACCATCTCAGAACAGTCGACAGCAAGGTAACTTTAAAAAAAGGGAGGGTGGGGGAGGGGGGGCTCAGGTGCTTGGGCATGCAAACAAAAAGGATGGCATCTTTAAAAAAAAAAAAGACATATGGATTGTCATCCTACTAGAGATAGCTCTGAGAACCTTTATCCTGTCATTTTATCCATGCAAAATAGGTTGAACTGACAATGGATCATAACACAGGCAGTCCTTGACTTAGAACCATTCATTTAGTGACCATTCAAAGTTACAACACTGGGAAAAAAGGGACTTATGACCAGCTCTTGCACTTAGAGGACTGTGGTGGCATCCTTGTGGTCATGTGATCCAAATCTGAGGGCTCGGCAGCGGCTATGTAGTTACAACAGCTGTAGCATCTGGGTTCATATGCTCACCGTTTGCTATTTTCCCAGCCAGCTTCCGATAAGTAAAGTCTGTGGGGTGGAAGCTGGATCTATACAAGGGTTGCATGATTCTCTTTATCGACTGCAGTAATTCGCTTAACAGAAAAAGGTCGTAAAATCAAGCACAACTCACTTAACCGCCTGGCTTAGCAACAGAAATCCTGATCCTAATTGTGATCATGAGTCCAGGACTACCTGCAAGATAGAGATTTGAATTCTGTTCTCCCCACTCCTAGGCTGATCCTACCATCACTTGTGCTACGGCAATTCCTAGATCACTTAAGTTTTACTTGTTAACATCTGAAGTAGTTAAATTTCAGCCAGCATTATACCTTTCTTCAGAAATCAAACAACTGTATTTCTAGTTACTTTGGATAACTAAACAGGCTATGTCCCAATAGAAGATGGCAGCAGCTTAGCTGCACAAACAAATAAATGACTTTTTGAAATTAAAAAGTACTTTATTTATTTATTTGGTTTATTTGCGGCCCATCTCATTTTGAAGTGACTTTGGGTGGCTCGCATCATTAAAAGCATTAAAAGTATAAAAGATGAATATTTCTAAAGCAATAAAAAATAGAAATACAATCAAAAATAAAAATTAGCTTAAAAGATGGGGAAAGAGGGAACAGCGGTGGGAGGTGAGATTGCCTGTTAATTTATCAACCACCTCTAGTGTGATACTCCCCTGTTGGGCCTCCAGGCCATCTGGTCTCCAAGCCCCTAGGGAAGGTCTGAAGGGTGGGAGCCAATCTCACCTCAGGGGATAAGATGTTCCAAAGGGCAAGAACCACAGAATAGAAGGCCTTCTCCTGCACTGTGCCAGCCAAAACTCCTTGACTGATGGGGCCTGCAGGATACCTCCTCTGCTGGTGGAGCAGGCCAGTCCCATTGGGGTGAGGCTGTTCCTCAAGTAACCTGGACCTATGCCACGCAGAGCTTTAAAGGTAACAACCTTGAATTGCACTCGGTAGCAAAGCAGCAGCCAGTGCAGCCCATGGAACAGTAGGATGATTGGAATTAAGATGTATTTTGCATGATGCATTTCATTTAAAAAAGTAGTCCCTCCAAGGTCTATCAGTCTTCAATTTTGCAGAAATGAGTAAACCAAAGAACCTAGAACTTGTACTTTTTTTAAAAAAAAATGTTTTGTTTTTTTAAAACAAAGGGAACAAATAGATTTCCTAACCTTTTTTGATTTTTGATTTTGGAGTTCCCAAATTTAGGATTTAGATATGCAAAAACATACATTTTTGCATATTTAGATATGCAAAAACTTATTGTAGTTTATATTTAGATAGTTGAGGGAGTTCCCATTGTGTCATTTTTTAAAAATGGTAAATAGCACAGTGTTGTAAATCTAGTTTCTCGAAAAGCCCAAATCTTTTTTAAATTAAACGTGGTTTTTTTCCTAAAAGCATTCAGTTCTTTCATCAGTTGAGATTTCTAAATTTCTTCAGACATTTTCTTTTCCTGCAATAATTATAAGAAAATTATTCCTTTGCCAACTGATTACTGCTTTTCAGGGAACATTTCAAAATATATACAACTTCCATGACAGTATCACAAACTATTGTATTATTATGTATTGTACACAACAATATGAAGTCATAGCTGCCAATTTTTTAGTTGTTGTTAGCTGTCACGTGCATCAAATTCTTCCCAAGAATCTAGAATGCCATTATGTATCAGCAGAGTATATGTATGGATCCAAGCAGTGTGACCTTTTATAATTGATAAATGGAAATTTTGCCAACACAGAGATTTATGCCATAATCTTTCAACTTTTCAAATTTTGATCAGGGGTGGGATTCAACCGGTGTTACTGTTGGTTCAGTGACTACGTTTTGTGCACGCATGTAGTTAATGATTAACTACAGCCTTAGCTTGGATTATAATTCCTGTTTAATATCATGGACACATATAACTGGAATTTATCCTGCTTCTGTATATTTTAACAATTATTATGATCATGCAGGAAACCCTGATTGCCATTATTTTATATATTCAAATTTTGTCTTTGTGCTTCTTTATTTTAGCTATCTTGAACATATGGAAAGGCAGGACATAAATTAATTAATCTGTTTCTCTCCAGACCACATAGGTCTTTTGCCTTTCTAAATTAATTAATAAAACAATTAGTAAGTTAACAACAGCCAATCTTTATTTTGGCATAGAGCAACATGTCAAATTGTAATTAACGATGCCACTAATAATGATAAGAATTAAACTATTCTGTAAACTATTGCTCTGTTTTTTAGTGGCACAATTATTTTTAGAGCTTTAGCTCAAAAATTCCCTCAAAGTTTTGTTCTTCTTGCTTTTCAACCTCTGAACAGATTAAATATTTTTATTTCCTTCAGGAAAAACAATGCCTCAATGTAAATGTCTTTAATGCTATTAAAATACGCTCACATTTTAAGTTGTAGAACTAATTGTAGAACTTTTATTTAATACAACTTCATTAGTGTAGGAGGCGTAGGATCTCTATCCAGTTCTTGGATAAAAATAGGTCTCTTCTACTGGAATTGACACACTTTATACATACGAGCATGCAAAAAGCTGGTTTGACCTGATATTGACCTTAGACTAAAGACGACAGCTATATTCTAAGTAGATCAAAAACAGACAAAGAATGCCTTGGCTAGAGCAACTTGTAATCACAGTGATTTATTAGACTATGACTTTCAATACATGGATTAGTCTAGCAAAATGTACTGTTACTGTGGCCTCTTTAGATTTTTCCAGTATAAAATACTTTTAAGGGTCTTTTATAGCATCTTATTTTACTTTGTTTTGTTTTAAAGATCCATTTGGTTCTGTAGAATGCCAAGTTGCTTTATTTAACATTCCAAGGGGCTTATTCTGCAAACACTTAAAACACTAATCTCCTTGTTGACAGAAATAATCCTGTTTTAAGTCAACTGGTCCTTGAATAAATTTACATTTTTTTAAGCATTTGCTTCATAAGCTCCCCCAAGCAGTGCATCTTTTGTTTAATGATCAGATCCTCCTTTCTCCTTTCTTAAAAATTTTGTTAGGACTTGTTTTAATATAAAGCTAACCATAAATAGGCTTCATGTGAATTCCTATTGTTGAATTGTGTCCCTTTTTGTTTTTATTCACTAGGTCCTTTGAGGTCTATAATGAAAGATCTGCATTCTGATGATAATGAAGATGAATCTGATGAAGCAGATGAGAATGACAATGACTCTGAGATGGAAAGACCTATAAATACTCACGGAGGAAGTAGAGTGCGCAGGTTAGGAATTAGAAAAATAAATTTCAGATAATTTGACAGCTGAAGACAAGCCAAAGATAGTAAAGAGGGTATTTTTTTTAGATTTTGAATTAAGGCAAAAATATTTATTAGATTTATTAAAACACTGCATGCTAGAAAAGAAAATAATATGCAGGGGTTTAAGGAAATTTTTAACATTTTAAGAAAGAATCTGGGAACTTGTTTTATTTAAAAGCTCAGCATGCCAAGAAAGAAGAGTAAGATCTTCTGCACTCTAGTACAGGGGTTGCCAACCTTTTGGACCTCAGGGACCACCAAACTCATAATTTTAAATCCCAGGGACCACTAACCGGTTCTGTGGGCATGGCCTAATTTGTGGGTGTGGCTTGGTGGTCATGTGACTGGCTGGGCATGGCTTGTATGTAGATATTATAAATATTTATATAAATATTGAATTTTTTTATAAAAAAGAGCAACTTTTACCCAAAATTAGGCAAAGCAGGCAGATTGAGTTGCTCACAGAATCACAGATTCATTCAGATATCTATCTATCTGCCATTGGCTGGCTCAGTCTGTCACATAAAATTTGCTTACAAGCAAGCTCACAAAATTAACTCGCAGCACACCATGCATGTAAATATTGAATTTTTTATAAAAAAAGAGCAACTTTTACCCAAAAGCAGGCAGATTGAGTTGCTCACAGAATCATTCAGTGATCTCTCTATCTGCCATCGGCTAGCTCAGTCTGTCACATAAAATTTGCTTGCCGTGAGTCTGCACTAAATAATAGAACCTTCAGTCCTAAGGAAGGTTCGGCTGTGCTTAAAAGCAGAGCTGAAGATCTAAAGACTAGCTAGAAAGCAAGAAATGCAACCATTTCCTGCTTCCTAGCTAATCTAAATCTTCCGGCACAGCAGAACAGATGATGGTCGGAACAAGGAAAAAAAGCAGTTTAGCAGGCAAGTTTGCTTGGTAAAGAGTGAGTGGATGGGGAGGGTTCCCGCGGGCCATGTGGGCAGCGTAGCCTTGTGTTTCTGCGCAGCCTGGATTAATTGCTTTGGGGGGGGGTGCTCTGGGGGTGAGATTTCTCTGCAGCCCACCGGTTGGCGACCGCTGCTCTAGTATATAGTCAAGCACTCTCTCTCTCTCTCTCTCTCTCTCTCTCTCTCTCTCTGTGTGTGTGTGTGTGTGTGTGTTCTGCTTTTCATTCTTTAGGCCATATATGGCGAATTTCAGAAATCGGGGAAATAAGTTGAACATAGCTGAATTTTAACAAACCCTAATTGGAAGTTTTTATCTTAGGAAAGGACATTAAATTATCATTTATAGGATGGGAAAAATACTTGTGGAAAACTTTGAAGCTATACTTAAACATTGAGTATTATGTGGCTGCAAAAGTGGGGGGAAGGCAAACATGGTTTTGAACTGCATTAACTGAAATGTAATTTCCATTTGACGTGTGATTGTTCCATTCCATTCTCCACTTCACTACTATATTCAGTTCTCTGTTCTGCAATTTCAGTATAAGTCAGAGAAATTGGGGCAGATGTAAAGAAAGCAGAGCGAGCATCAACAGGGGGGGGGGGCTGCAAATTAAGTCCTAAATGAGGAGACTGAAGAAAGTTTTAGCTTTCAGAAAAAAACAACTAAAGGGCAGCATAGTCATGTTCAAATATGTGATGCCATATCAGACAGCTATGACCAATTTTCTGTCATCCCAGGGGTCATAGGATATGTAACAATGGTCTTGAGTTATAGAAAATAGACTAATTTGAAGGAGTGAGTAGATGGTGACTTCCTAACAGGTAAAATTGTTTGACTGTGGAGGAAATTATCTAGGGCAGCAGTGAGAACCCCTTGACTTGGCACACATTTTTCAAGATTTTGATTTTGATTCCTACCAAAGCAGAGAGTAAACGTCAGGACATAAACGGCCATAGAGCTGTGAAATTAATATTTTTTTGCCCCAGTTTGCTTCATATAGGTATGTCAAACTGCACTTGCTATTTTCATATTTCCCTGGTTTGAAAATACGATTTTTGAGCTTCCTCCAATACACTTCTTTCACCATTGTCTCTCCATGATAAAACAATATTTGTGTGTTTCTTAAATCAGGGGCCCGCTGCTGGGCTGCAGCCCATTCAGAACCAGGCCACACAAGTGGGCGACTACGAGCACATGCAGCTCTACTTGTGCAAGTGGCAGGTGCTCATGCTCGCACACAAAACCCCATTTGCACAAGCGCCTGGCAAGTGCCTGCCGCTTGCGCAAATGGAGCTATGCTCGCTTGCCTGCTGCACTCACAGAACCATCCCTTCTCCCCGCCACCATCGCCACCGGTCTGCAAAGCCAGAAACGTTTGGGACCACTGTCTTAAATAGTTAGTTACAGCCAGCCCACCACTTTTGCAGCCCAATTCCCCTCTCTTCCCCAACCAGGCCACCAAGCCACAAAAGTTACACTGTCTTAATATGCTGTGAGTAATGTAAAACTCTAGCCATGACAGATAAGATGAGGTGGTCTTAAAAATATCATATAGGGCAGGGGTCCCCAACCACCGGGCCCCGGACCAGTACCGGTCCGTGGATCATTTTGTACCGGGCCGCAAAGAAAATAAAAATAAAATAAAAATGGCGGCTTTCTTCGCCTTCGGTGAATGCTGCTGGGATCAAGAACACAAAAGAAAGAAGGGGAGGGAGGAAGCAACCAAAGCCTGTCCTGCTCTTCGGCTCAGTGGCTTCGGTTTCCTCCCGCCTCGTTCCTCTCTCAGTCGCTCTCTCGCTCCTCCACCAGCCCAGGAAGAAACTGCTTCAAAGAAGCCGGCAGGGTGGCTTTTCCTGTCGGCGCAGCTCCTCCGAAACGCCCGTTCACCCCCACACAGCCACCCGCGGTTCAATCCAGTGCTCTGTTCTGCCTGCCTGCCTGCCTTCATTTCTGGTTGTTTCAGAGCAGCTTCGGCTGAGAAAAAGAGGCGAATAGTTATTAAAGGGAGGGAGACACCTGAGGGATGAGGCTGAGGAAGGCAGGGCCGAGAGGCGGGGCTTCTCAGCCATCCTGAAGGGACTTGTCCTGAGCCGCAGAGACAGCCGTGGGCCGCCGCCGCCCAGCGCTCAGTTTTGAAGGCACTCCTCAGCCAGGCGCAGTTCCTGAATCTGCTGAAACCCTCCGTTTTAAATGTCCCAATAGAAGAGAATATCTGTCGCTCAGGGTTGCAATGAGGAGGCCTTGGCGCTCCCTGAACTTGGTGGTTTGCTGGCGGACGTTTTATTAACCGACTAGGTAACAACATCAGATGTTACCTAGTCAGGTAATGAAACTTCTGCAAGCAAAGTTTCCAATTTCGGACTCCACGCCCCCCACCCAGTCCTTGAAAAAGTGTTTCTGCGTGAAACTGGTCCCTGGTACAAAAAAGGTTGGGGACCACTGATATAGGGTGTTCGTAATCTGTAGTAAGTTGGGAACACTTGAATTTTTCATTTGTGTATTGACCTGCTTCTTACCTTTTCATTCCTCTTCCATTTTTTATTTTTGCTCAGGGTTAGTTTAAGTGATGGAAGTGACAGTGATAGCAGTTCTGCATCTTCACCTCTACACCATGATCCTCCACCTTTATTAAAAACCAACAATAACCAGGTATCGTGTTTTGGTATGAGCACAGTAGTCTCTGTTGTTTAATTTTTTCCAGTAAACATTTTTATTTTACCAACTTTGTGAGCCTTCTTTAGTTTTATAAATGATTAGTGTTAATTAGTCCTGAATCTTTCCAGTTTGTGCAGATCTTACTGAATTTGATTTGTGCTATTATAGCCTATAATATTTTCAGGGGAGGGGGAGGGGAATCCTTCCAAAGATATGTGTAAAGTGCACAACATTTATATATCCTATAAGTAAATGGCACCCAATTTTATGATCATTTTTGTCACAATTGTTAAGCGAATCACTGCTGTTGTTAAGTAAATTGTGTATTCATTAAACAAATCTGGCTTCCCCTATTGACTTCACTGTCAGTAGCAGCTGGAAAGGTTATAGATGGTGTTCACATGATCCTGGAACACTGTAACTGTCATAAATACATATTGTTTGCCAAGCACCCAAATTTTGATCAGGGACTGGGGATGCTATAAGATCCTTGTAAGTGCAAGTATTAGTTGTAAATCACTTTTTCAGTGCTGTTATAACTTCGAAAAGCTGCTAAATGAATAGTTGTAAATCAAAGACTATACTTCTAATTTCTTTGAAAATTAGCTTAAAATATTATTTTTTAAAATAACCCAAAGTCACCAAATGACACTTTTCCAAGTAATGTCATATGTATGCATGAATCAATTTAGTCAACAACAATCTGTTGTTATTTCCTGTTACTTAGATTTGTTATCGTCCAACTACTTCTAAAGACTCTGTATTCTTGACACTTATTAAGCACTATGTTAAAGTTACTGATTTTACTTGAGTAGAAAAATGAATACTTCTAGATCAGGAGTGTCAAACTTGGGTCATCACATGACGTATTGGGACGTTTTTCCCCTTCACTAAACTGGGCGGGGGCAGGGCCAGCACGTGACGCATCCAGGCCACAGGCCGCGAGTTTGACACCCCTGTTCTAAATCAATGCTCAAGTAGATCAATGCTCGTGAAACTGTTCTGAAAATGGTAGATCCCTGCTCATAGAAGAACTATGTACAAACAGAGACTTCAACATATGGATATAATTCTTGCATTGTAGAAGTTTAGAAACAAAACTCAAGTGCCATGACCTTATTTTAAAGCTAATTTATAAAAATATGGCACATTTATCTATAAATAAATTGAAGAGTTGATACTAGATAAGACATAGTATATTACTGAATCATTTCTGAAAGTTCTTCCATTAGTATTCATTTACTTGATAATTCCAAAGTCTTTCGATGTTCAAATTTATTTATAATTAGTTTGTTGCTTTAATTTCTGCTCTTAAGGTATATAACAGGAGATATAGTTAGGATATATAAATTGGCTTTAGATCCGCTTACAGAACAAAGTCATCTGACCAACATAGTTTAAAATATTTTAGTTTTTAATTTGTAATGTCCTTAAATATTTACTCTTTTTGTTTTGTAGATTCTGGAAGTAAAGAGTCCTATAAAACAAAGTAAATCTGAAAAACAGATTAAGAATGGTGATTGTGATAAGGTAAATAGAAAAAGAATGTTTAAAACATGCGTCTATACATTAGAATCTAAATTTAGACAGAAAACCTAATTGAAATCAACATCTACATAAAAGTGAAAATTTGTATATACATTTATATGTAAATGGCATGTGATTTCATAAAATATTTCTTAATTATTCCTTTAGCATTTTGTATTACTACATGTATATTGTTTATTGCTGCTATGTTGGTAAGATCATATAAAATTGAAAATATTTGTGAACAAAACTATGCGGTTTCACAAACTGGCAAACTTTGCATTTTTTGTTTTAATCTGTAATTATTTATTTTCAGGCATATCTTGATGAATTAGTTGAGCTTCACAGAAGGTTAATGACTCTAAGAGAAAGACATATACTGCAACAGGTGAGGGCTTCTATGTCTTTTAAACAGTTTTCCAAAACCAACGTTTTATTAAAAAAAAAACAAAGTCGAAATCTAAATTTTATTTTTCAACAGAAAGCAAATCCTTCAATCAAAATATTAGTGTCTCACATTTTTTTATAATCTATTCAGTCCTACAAAAGCATAATTCACACTGAAAGGAATTTCCTGAATGTTCAAATTATAATCAAGTATTTTCCGAAGATGAGAGAGAAAGCCACCACGGAGAAGACCCTTCTTCTGGGTCCTACCAGGTGTCTGTCCCTCAGGGATGGGACCTCAGCATTCCTTGCGTCCCCCCTCTGATGAGTCGGGTAGATGTGACCAGCAAGAGACGGTCCCTCAGATAACCTGGTCTCAAGCCATGAAGGGCTTTAAAGGTGACAACCAGCACCTTGAAAATTGCAGCTGGAAGCAAATCGGTAGCCAATGCAGCTCCTGCAGGAGAGTGATACATGTGCACATCGGGGTCTGCACAAAACTATGCAGGCCGCTGCATTTTTCACCAACTGGAGCTTCTGGATGCTCTTCAAGGGCAACCCCATGTAGAGCGTGTTGCAATAGTCAAGATGGGAAGTGACCAGGGCATGAGTGACTGTGAGAAGGGATTGTTGGTCCAGGAAAGGGCATAACTGGCGCACAAACCACAGTTGCGCAAAAGCCCTCCCGGCCACAATCACCACCTGTTCTTTGAGCAAGAGTCATGAGTACAGGAGAACCCCCAGATTACGCACAGGGTCTGCTTGGGGTATCCAAGACCCCATCCAAGACCAAAGGTGGCAATTCTCCCTGAGCCAATGAACCCCAAACCCAGAGCCACTTGGTCTTGTCAGGGTTTAATTTCAATCTGTTGCTCCCCATCCAGCCCCTAACACCCTCCAGGCATTGCGGGAGGGAGGACACGGCATCATTTTAACTCACCACGGGCCAAGATATACAGTTGAGTATTATCAGCATATTGGTGATACCTCAATCCATGGTGACAGATGATCTCACCCAGCGGCTTCATATAAATGTTGAACAGGAGCAGAGAGTACTGAGCCCTGCAGAACCCCGTAAAGCAGTGGGCGAGGGCTGGACCTCTCCCCTCCTATCAACACTGACTGAGAGTGGCCGCAAAGAAAGGAAGTGAACCAGGATAGCACAAGGCCTCCCACTCCCATCTCCCAAAGCTGCTCCAGAAGAATGCCATGGTTGATGGTATCGAAAGCTGCCGAGAGGTCAAATAGAGCAAGGATGGATGCACTACCCTCATCTGAATTCACATAATTCAGATTTCAATTTAGATCTGCAATACTGAAATTTGAATTAGTTATTTTCATTTATTTATGGACTTTATGCATTAGTACTTTGGTGTGGTTCAATGACAAACAATTCTTTTTTCACGGAAATTAGTGCACTATGAAACTTTTAAAATACAGAATTTTCTGCACTTAACACGGCTTACAATATTGACTTCAACAACAACAACAACAACAACAACAACAACAACAACAATAATAATAATAATAATAATAATAATGAAAATTTCCCAGTATAACACATATTCATACTCTCTGCCTTTATCCTACATACACACTCCCAAATATAAAAGCAGTCGTTAATCTATTTGTTCATTGCAAAATCTTGGTTCATTTTTTTGTGGGTGCCATTTAGATTTGGGCCCATCTTTAACCATGGAACTACAGTAACTGCATGGCTTCAGGCCAGTTGCTGTTTCTAAGCCCAACCTACTACTTCAGGATCTTCGTATAAGCTACCTGAGCTAGGGACACACACTGACATACATGCATTTTTCTCCACATTATTTATTTAAAACTCTTACACCAGTAAGTTCTTGATTTATCATGTGGTGAAGTTACAAAAAAAGTGCAATCTCACTTGAGATCAGCTGGATCAATTGATATGAGTCTGTAGGCTTCAGATTTGAGAAATGGGGTCTAGTTAATCATAATACCTGAAGTGATTCTCAGTTACCCTTAAAATCAAAGCCCATGACTATCTCCTTGAGTGTTATGGTAATGCTAGGCTTCATATCATGATATTAACTTAGCTGACCCCTAAATCAGAAAATGATGTACTTCTATTTCAGATTTTAACTTGGTAGTTTATCATTTAAATGGTAGATTATCATGAATTACATCAGTATATTTTATAATCAATGCTAACGCTTCCCAATATTTATTTATTAAATTTATGTTTTGCTCATCTCATTATTGAAGCTGTTCTAGGCTCCAATATGAAGAGAGAGAAAATGTATGTTTATTTATTATTCATTTATTTCTCCCATGAGCTGTTCAGAGCATCCAGAAGTGGGAGGTGCTTCAGTCTCTTCTGGAAAGTCTGGGCTTAAAACTCCGGGACGCTCTTCCTCCTCCTCCACGGGACACCACCCCAGCGTCCCCCAGTTTTAGCTCAGTCTTCATGGTAAGAGGTTGTGCACTCCTTGATTGGAACGGTTTTCCGATTCAGCTAGTCAAAATTCAGGTTTGCTCTTGGGTTAATTCGGCTTGTAAATTTCCCCCCAATTAATTTGGTGATTTCAAGGCTTGTGGCTCTACTGGGTTATCCCCCCGATCAGTTTGAGAGCCGCCAGCCACTCCACACGTAGCCTGAGACAGCCGCTTCAGGCAATTAGCTTATCTAACCCCCCGATCATCTTATCTCTGCAATCTTGGAGGAGCGCTCGCAGCCGCGGCTCACTTCTCCTTGCCGTTTCGACTGACAGGATCATTTATCTGACAATTTAGAGAGTCAGCAGCAGCGGCTCGTTAAACTGCTTAGGCAATTAACAGCGGAGATTCTGCCTTCCCGCCATTTTCAACGGCTGGCTTCAAGTTCACGCCTAAGTATCACAGGCGTCATTCTCCGCTGGTTTCCCTTCTTGGGGACCGGGGCAGGTACCTTCCCACTCCACTTCCCTGGCATTATTTCTCTTTTATCTTGCTGGCGTTGGATAAGCAGGCTAGTCCTTAAACAGGATTTTTTTCCTTTTGCAATTGCTTTTGGATCATTATATTGGAGTGAAGCCGCAAGTGCCATTTCAAACAGCGGGACGTTTTTGATAGGAAAGGATTCATCCAGGCCCTGTATAGCTGGTTTCCCTTGTTGGGGACCAGGGATCCAGAATATTTCTTGCTTGGAGCGCTTGGGGGTTTCCCTTGTTGGGGACCCTTAGATACTGTTTCCCATAAACACAGTTTTACATGTAGATATAGGCACGTATATGTATATGTGTGTGTGTGTGTGTGTGTGTGTGTATATATATATATATATGGCCTTCAGCTTTGTTCGGGTATTTTCCCACGTCATTATAGTTGTGCTTTTAAAGTTGTAGCAACGTTTCAGCAGAATCTCATCTGCCATCATCAGGTTTCTGTATTGTGTCCGTCTGTGAGTCAGACTTTTACAGTGGTTTCAGATTTAAATTTGGGGCAGCCTATTGCTGTGCCAGAATGGTTTTTTCTTCATCCTGATTGGTTGGGAGTCTTGGTCTGTGTTTATTGGTCTCGGAGTTTGCTGTGTTCTGCTTGATTGGTG